CAGGTCCTGTGCCAGAGGGCATGTATCTTGTGACGGGCATTTCAAAAGTAAGTCAGGGAGGAGAGCAGAAGGCGCCCCACTGAGAAGGGGAGTCCCCCCATTTGCGCCGAGCCAGCTTGTGGCTATCTGGACATGGGGAGACTGCTACCCTAAACAGCAGGGGTCCCCAACAACTTACATCATTTAATTTTGTGACCTTTGAATGTAGGAGGCACAGAAGTAGGAGTATACTGCTAGGTGCATTTCTGTGCCACACAACATACACCATCAGTATCATAGGACACATGGATTCATTCTGAGAACTGTGTTATCTCAAGCTTCTGCACTCCATGCCTCCACTTTACTTCTTGGACACTTTTCTTTTGAATGCTGAGATCACAAACACAGGTTCATGTACACCAGCCAATTTATCTCGGAGACTCTCAAGAATTATGTGAAAGAGATGTCTCAGTCTTATGTGTAGATAATGACAAGAGTGAATCAGGTAGGTCCCAATATTCTGGAATAAACTCTCCTTAATCCATTCTAAAGATGATCTATCCAGATGACATTTTAGAATTAATTTCTAAGACTTATAGCATGGGCTACATGTAGACTAAAAATACCACACTTCTGTACTTCTTTGGATCTAAATGAAATGAGGATGATAAAATAATTTAATTCATTCAGCTGTGCAAGAATTAGATGATGTTCTATGTGTAAATTGATTAAAATTGTGCTTGACACACAGCAATAAATAACACACTTTATTATTTGGGGCACTTTATCCAAGATCTTAAGAGAACGTGTCTTGAAGTCAGCTAAGTTTTAATTTGTACCATATATTGCTCACTGTTTACATGAATTTGGGTAATGATTAAGGTCATACTTTTATGTGTAAAATGGGTATATCGACATCATTAGGTTATAAAAATAAGCAATGAGATTTTAATAGTGTATATTGGATAGGACAAATAGTCAATAAGATTAGATACATGTGAAAAATAGACTATTGTATAATGTGGCTCAACATAGGTATATGGAATATATTTGAAAAGCCTCCATTGAAATAAGTGGTCAGATTTTTTAAAATGAGTGAATGCTTGGTCAGTATATACACATGGTGTAAGAAAGGGTTGAAAACCCCTAGTGCATTAAATTACCCACATTTTGTTGTTTGGATCAAGATAAATAAAACAAGATTCTTAAATTATGTGGAATTCATTTTGTGTGAAATGTTAATGTGATGTTTTAGAAAATGTAGCTCAGTGAAAAAGAAATTGTTATAAATATTTTTAAGTGTTATTGTTTGCATTGACAATAATGTAAGAAAAAGTTTTCTATTGAGGATTTTTATATTCATTGCCATGAAGTAAAGATTGACTAAGATGTTTGTCAATGTTCAATTTGAAAGGTGATCATTTCGAATGTTTAGCATTTCAAAAATTGACAACAATTCATGGTGATGCCAACTGAAAATTAAGTAAGGCAGATTTTATAGAAACAAAGGTTATTAATTGATGTTTCATGACAATTTATCATGTTTTAATAGATCTTGTTTATTGGCATTTTTTTTTTTATATTCACAGTGGCTCAAAACCTGGCTGTGTAGAAGAATCCTTCTTGGGAGGATCTGTAAAGCAAAGAAGTCCACTCAGGCTCTACCATTAGAGTTTACTATTTATCAGGAAAGCAGTTAGAAACCTCCTTGTGTCAAAAAAGCATCCTGGATAATTTAGATGACTGTCTAGGGTTGAGAAATGCTGCTTTTCACATAAAAATTCTTATGAAAACCTCAAGCATTATTCTCTCAGTCAGTGCTTGAGGTTTTCATAAACCATTGTAAATATTCAAAAATATATATTCAAGTAATGTGTACATAAGCTAATGGTGAATACTTTTGGAGATATTTTCATTATGTCATTACATAACAGCTTTTATCAGTTACAAAAATAAAAAAGCATGAAATAGGTACAGAATTAATTTGTATATACTGAGTTTAAACTCTCTTTTGGAAGCTATTGTCTATTGTATTAACTGTTTTCTTCTTCTTCTTTTTTTTTTTTTTCATTAAAGCCGGCATCCTTCCCATAGTCTGTCAGCTCACGATACATTTATCAAGCAATATCCGAAAATATTCGTGCCTAAAAAAAACAGATTGCCTTACATTTTCAAACAGGATGAAAAAAGGTAATAATGTCTTCTTTTGAAAGTAAAGTTTATGTGTACATGTATAGTTATGTGTCTGCTTTTTAAAATTGGTATCTATTCATGCTACATAGTGCTGGTTTTCATAAAGGCATTTTCATTCAAGAACATTATGCACTGTGACATATCCACCCCCACACCTCTCTCCTTCCCCTCTCCTACTGGTCCTTATATTTTTATAATCTAGTAACTTCTTTTCTCTTTTTTTTGATGCACATCTGTTCTTTAAAATATTTTTTTTTGAGATTTGACACATGAATACTGTGTTTACATCATTTCACTTCTCTCTTTTCCCCTCCAATATCCCCTTCTCTGCAAACTCATGATCTCTGTTTTACACACACACACACACACACACACACACACACACAAAACACACACACCCCACTGGTTCCATTTAGTGGTGTTTATATGTGTATATGTTAAAGATGACAACTTGGGATTGGATAACACATCAGGGACCTTGTCCCTGAAGAAAATTGATTCCCCCTCTCTCAGCAGCCATTAATTGCCTGTAGCGTTTTATCTAGGTACCACTGGATAAGGTTATTGTGAAATTTCTCTCTTCCATGTTGACATGCCAGCTGGGGTTGTTATTATGCAGGTCGTGTTTAGGCAACCATGTTGTTGAGATTTTATGGGTACAGCTCCCCCATCATGTCTAGAAGATACTCTCTTGTGGCAGGTGTATGTAACAATAATAATCAAAGAAAAGGACAAGAAATTGAGAGGAGTGTGGCAACATTTGAGGAGTTGGTAGGGGACTGGGAAGGGTAGAAATAAAATTCCACAAATTTAAAAGAAAAACACAGCATCCATCTATTTGCTGCTTCCTTCATTATAAAGATAGACACTCCCTAAGAGTAAAAGGATGGAAAAGGTATTCCAAGAAACTATCAAATCAAAACACAATTCTCATATCCAAGGGAATAATAGTTTATTCTGGAGTCAAATATGAATGATGGTAGCCCATGAGTACAGATTTAGTCCCCTTGAATGAAGTTTATATAGTAACAGGACAAAGAAAGTCATAAATATATTGGTGCATAAATATATTGGTGCAACATTAAGTAGGCAATTCTAGCAGAGAAACCTTAGCTCTAGGCCTCAGATGCTGTGTGATGGCATTCTTAGGCTTTTAGTTGGTGGAAACAAGGGTTTTATTAATACATCCCTGAAGGTTTTTATCTGTTAGTCACAGGATGTTAGGTCCAGCACACAGGTGGGTAAGGAGTGGGTATTTAGGAGACTAAAGATAGTCCAAGATCAATTGTAATTAGGTTCTGAACCTGTAATATTTCAAACTTCACAATCATTGAAGTTCTAATTAGTTAATTAGCCTTGAAAAATGTTCAGTTTGAAGATACAAGGTATTTCTGGGAACTTCCATTCTGAAACCATCAGTTCTTTAGCTTTGCATTGTTTTTTGGGGCAGTGAGGTATATTTCTTGTAGGCAACAAAAAGCTTTTTCTTTTTAATCTTTTAATACAGAGAGAGGTATTCTGTAGATGTAGACTCAGAGTATTGTTCTCTGACACTTTTTTGGTTCCCAGACTGACCCTGGATAGAGGGACATCACCCTCTAAAGCCTCCTAATAGTCAATTCAGCAGGAGTCTTTTAAAAAATGACTTCCTGAGGCTGGAGAGATGGCTCAGCAGTTAAGAGCACTTGCTGCTTTTGCAGAGTACCTGGGTTCGAATTCCCACACTCACATGGCAACTAACAACCATGTTGATAATTCCAGTTTCAGGGAATCTGGCC